AATCTGCATTTTAACAAGCTCCCAGTTGACCCAACCTAATGCCTCTCACCTTCAGATAGCTTCGTAACCTTGACATCCTTTGCCACACTCACATTGCCCTTTTGATTATTTTTGTGCACATTGCTTTAGGTTAACTTTGTTTTTAATCACCCTAAGTAATATTCATTTAACCATGAAACTGATGTCTGCTTGGTTTTAAAAATAAAACTCAATAACTATTTAAAAACCCACTTGTGAACCATCTAAACCAGAGGTTCTCAACCTGTGGGTCGCAACCTCTTTGGGGCTTAAACTACCCTTTCACAGGGGTCTCCCAATTTATAACAGTAGCAAAACTGCAGTTATGAAGTAGCAACGAAAATAATTTTAGGGTTGGGGGGTCACCACAACATGAGGAACTGTATTAAAGGACCACGGCCTTAGGAAGGTTGAGAACCACTGGTCTAAACTCAGCTCCCACTCTCTCCACTACAGCCTCTCAAAGGTGCATGAGAAGAGCGAGTAGTACAATCCGCCAAACTTTGGTACCTTTTCCAACTCCTTCTAGAGCCCTTGGTATTAGCACTGGGGGCTCTCACCAGCCCTGGGGAAAGCCTCTCACTGACAAGATTCCTCTGCACCTCTTTCCTTATACCCTGCTCCTGTCACTCCAACCAAGCTGCTCTCCTCTCCGCCTCACCCAGGGTACCAAAGTTGCTCTGACTGCGGCACTCGACCCAGCTGCAGCGGAGTCCACTCTCCTCAAGCTTGGAGAAGCTGTATGAGGTAGGGCAGGAGCGGATTTTAGTTAAGACTAAAGCAGGCTTTTAAATTGCTACGAGTTTTACATATCTCTATGTATATGGCATGTGTGTGTATCCGCTTGATCCATCCACTATATATATATAACATCAGTAAAGGAGCCCTGGCGGCACCAGCTGCTCCTCGGTGGAAAGCTGAGGCTTTCTGCTCCCATCAGGTTTACCACCTCGGAAACCCCAAGGGCAGTTGTACTTTGTACTCAAGGGTCACTATGAGTCAGAATTGACTCAATGGCAGTGAACATGAATGAATCAAACCTGTGATTGAACAGATATTATCTGTTGTGTCCAGTCCCAACTTATCGTGACCCTGTGAACAACAGAACGACATACTACATGGTCCTGCACGGTCCTCACGATGGCTATGTTTAAATTCATTGTTGCTGACACTGTATCAATCCATCACTGGAAGGTCTTCCTCTTGTTTGACAGCCCTCACCCTGTGCCATCAAGTTGACTCCAACGCAGAGTGACCCTGTATGACAGACGAGAACTACCTCAGGCGTGTTCTGGGCCAGAATCCCTAAGGAATCGGAGCCAGGTCTGCTTTTCCCCCTTGGAGGTGCTCCCGGAGCAGAACCTCCAAACTTTTCGCTAGCTTAACTGTTGAGCTACCAGAGCTTAACATTAATGAGTATAAAACGATGCTATTAAATACCAGTAACACAGCAGTGTGAGCAGGGCAAAGGTATGAAGACGTCTGAGGTCCTGGAGGCAATAGGTTATGTGACTCCAGTCACATTGACTAATTTTGGTCCTTAGACCACATCAAACATCCTCCCTCTAAATACACAAGCGTTTCCTTGCCATGGGACTTTTAAAGTTGGGGAACTCCTGTTGTCAGATATTTCATGTGGCCGCCCCCTAGTCATCCTTCCAGTTTCAATTTAAATGTCACCTCTTTCCCACAGGGGGTCCCTAACCTACCTAACCAAGCCCACATCATTCTCCACCCACTCTCCCCACATATATCCTACTAAACTAGTACTTTTACCTCTCAGGGGACATTTGGCAATGTTTAAAGATATTTTATGAACACTTAGTGGTGTACTGGGTTACACAGTGAGCTGTTAACCACCAGGTTAGTGGTTCAAACCCACCAATTGCTGCACAGGAGAAAGATGAGGCTGCCTGCTCTTGAAAAGATTTAAAGTCTTGGAAACCCAAAGGGGAAGTTCTACTCTGTCCTATAGGATCCATACAAGTTGCCATCAACTCAGTCGTATTGGGCTTGGTTTGGAGATATTTTGTACAGAGGGAAGATGGGGCAGTCTGAGTCCATGTCAATTTCCAGCCTTAGAAACCCTCTGGGGAAGTTCTACTTTGTCCTGTAAGGTCCCTCTGTGTTAGAACCGACTCAATGGCAACCGTTTGGGTTTGAGATTTGGAAGAATTTGGGGTTTCCAGAATTAGGTTGCTACTAGCATTTGCAGGGTAGAGGACAAAGATGCTGATCAACAGCCTACAATGTACAGAACAGCATCCTCCAATAAAGAATTATCTGGCCCTAAATTTCAGTACCAAAGAGACTTGGTGGTGTAGCAGGGTCTGGGCTGAGCTGTTAATCAGAAAATCAGCAATTTGAACCCACCAGTTACTCTGCAGGGAGAAAATGAGGTTGTTTGCCCCAGAGAATATTTTAAGTCTAGGAAAC